TGGCAACCCTCCGAAGCTCTCCGAGGCTGAAGTTCATCATATTATCGAATGGATTACTTCTTCGAAGCGTACGCGACGTATGCCTTTATTATAAGGTTATACAAGAGCTTAACCTATCTATTGGAAAGCACGCCCTGGCTCGAGCTCTTAAAAAACGAGGTTATACACGATGAAAGGCTCTTAATAAACCTCCTCTATCAGATAAACATGAACAAGTACGTCTTGCCTGGGCCCTAGAGCATTTGAATTGGACGACTGAACAATGGAATCGTATCCTTTGGTCTGATGAAACATGGGTTACTTCAGGATTTCATACGAGAATCTGGGTAACTAGAAAGGCTGGTGAAGAGTTAGAAGAGACTTGCATACGATCCTCTCCTGCACGGAAACGTGGATGGATGTTCTGGGCTACTTTTCATGGGAATAACAAGGGTCCGTGTTTATTCTGGGAGAAAGAATGGGGAATTATTAACTCGGAGAGATATTGTCAACGGGTTATACCAATTATTGATGGCTATATTCGCTTATTACGAGACGATATCTGGCTTCAATTTATGCAGGATGGGGCACCTGGCCATGCGAGTAAGGAGACTCTCGAAGAGCTTCATTCTCGTGGGATATATCCAATTTATTGGCCAGCATTCTCACCTGATCTCAATCCAATTGAAGCAGTATGGAATTGGATGAAGGATTGGATTCAAGAACAATATCCAGATGATGAGCAACTTTCTTATGATCGACTCCGTGAGGTTGTACGAGCTGCTTGGGATGCACTGCCTGAGCAGTTTTTGAAGGAGCTCATTGACTCTATGCACGCTAGATGCCAAGCTGTAATAGATGCTCGAGGTGGTCATACAAAATATTAGATTAGTAATCAGATATGACTGGCAGAATTCGTTGGATTTCAACCCCTGTAAAAAAATCGTGCTAACAAAATTACCGGCCCCAGCCATAGTAGTGCTCGGTACGTAGTAGATTGTTTATAAACCTAAAGTAACCCTACATGCTTAAGCAAAACTGGTGTCGGGATCTTACTCTCTTCGATTATTCCTCAGTCCCTGCGCCAAGCGGGGCTAAACTTACATTGAGAGAAATGCCAAGACGGCTACAATGCATTATTATGTATGGCACGGTATCCATCTATCCTCAAGAAAAAAATTGAACAGAGTTGTGTCAGATAATCCGGATTTCCAACAAGGTGTAGAATCCAAAGGCCATCCTTGTAAACAATTTTTCAGGATTGGACTGGAGTTAACCCACCAATCCGATAAGTTGAACAGAGTTGGACAATAAAAGGGTTAGGGTTGAACCCTAACCCTAATCATCCTACCTTTCGCTCGGGCCCAACGCATCCAGACCAATTACCAGATAATCTGGGGCGATGGTGACTATGATATTTATGTTGAAACGGACGATTGGATAACGTACTGCGCAATCGTCAACAAGGACTATGGAACCTCATTTGAGGCGCCCTTGACTGGAATATGTCGTTCGGAAGACCATGCATGGAGAGTTTTGGATAGAATGCTGGACGCCTGGGCTACACAAAAGCAGAGTGGACGCCCGACGACAGATGATCAAACGCTGGAGATATTTGGTGGACCCAACGGTCCCTATCCGGAGTCGCATAGCTGGAACCACTTCCCCGCTTCCGAATAACCTCACGTCGAACCGTCACATTCAGTAGCTAAACTGCCAACTGTACCACAGCCCCTGACCAAGTTTGTAAAGGCCTCACTTGTATTGAAAAACACATGGAAGCATAGCTACTCTTGGAATGATGTATTCTCTAGTTTACAAAATGTAAATAGTCAATCTTTAAGTTCAATAAGTAAACACGTTTTTCAAAATGCTGGTAAGATTTCAACAATATTCCACGGAGCACTTTAAACAAATCCACAGTTGAACGGGCCCACACTTGAACAGGTCCAGCGTCATTGTTAGTGGTGCTCCACCCAGT